TTTCTGACACTTCTTGCTTAAAATCTCCAAAGAACAGAAGGACTGTGGGGCTCCCATTTTCACAGCTGTGTTTTTTATGTTGTTATTGTTGTGCACCATAGACTTGGTATTGGCTCACAGCTGACCTTCTGGTGGGTTTTCAGAGACAGTAATCACATGGAAAGAGATTGCCCATCTTTTCCCCTCAGAGAAATTGGTGACCTTGAACATGTGCCTTTAGGATTGGGGTTCAGCATTCCATTAAAGAACTACACATATGCACTCTTTTTCATATGCACAGAGAAAATTAAAATTGAATTTAGTAAAGTAAGGCAAGGAAAATCTCTTCCTTCAAGATTGTTAATTAAAAGAATTAGTAATAATAAAGATGAGGGAGAGAACTGTTTAGGAGAAATATATTGTTAGGTATTACTTACTTGTCATTGAGACAAGAGTCCAGAATGAAAGCTGCATAGTGGAGTGGACCATGCAGGGAGTGGGAAGGGGGCGAATTGTATAACAATGAAAGATTTTCTTTCTTTTCTTTCTCTCTTTTTTTTTTTTACTTTTCAAAGAGAAATGTTAACAGTGGGGGTGGGGTGGGCAAGGAGGAAAGTGTACAATAATGAATGAATGGAAACCCAAAGCCTCTGCTAACTTTCATTAAAATAAAAATAAAGAGAATTGTGAAATATACATTGTATTCCATTGTGTGAGTGTACCATAATTTCTTAATCCATTCATCTGTGGTTGGACATTTGGGCTGTTTCCATGTTCTTTCAATGGTGAATAACGTTGCTATGAACATTGGTGTACAAGTCTCTGTTTATGCCTTAGTTCTCATTTTCTCTGGGTACATTCCAAGAAGTGGAATAGCTGGGTCATATGGAATTTCTGTGTTCAACTTTTTGAGGAAATACAAATCTACCTTCCAGAATGGTTGTACCATTTTATAGTCCCACTAACAATGTATAAGAGTTTCTATCTCGCCACATCCTCTCCAATATGTATTACTTGTTGTTCTATTAGACTTTGTCACTGCTACTGGAGTGAGATGGTATCTCATTGCGGTTTTGATTTGTATCTCTCTTATTGTCAATGATTTGGAGCATTTCTTCATGTATCTGTTGGCCATCCAAATACCTTCTTCTGTGGAAAAGTCTTTCCATGTTTTGCCCATTTTGCAATTAGCTTATCAGTCTTTTTTTTTTTTTTTGTGGAGGCCTTGTGTTGTTGATGTTGGATTTGTTGTTGTTGTTGTTAGATGCTGTAGAGTGGAACATGGACCACAGGGACCCTATGAACAAAAGATCTGGACCCTGTTCTACTCTGTGCCATACTCACTCTTCCTGAAACATAACAGCCCATTGCAACAGTCACCATATCCATCCACCTGATTGAGAGTCTTCTTCTCCGTCCCCCCACTCTTCACCCTTCCCAGCATAACGTCCTTCTCACAGGAATAGCATCTCCTAGCAACATGTTTAAAATATGTGAGGCAAAAACTCATCATTCCTGCCTTCAAAGAGCACTCTGGCTACACCATCTCCAAGACATCTGTTTGTTCACTTAGCTGTCCATAGGATGTTCAGTGCTTTTCTCCAGCACCACAGTTCAAAGGCATGGATTCTTTTTCTGTCATCCTTATTCGTTGTCCTGATCTCAGTTGCATAGCTAGGAGTCAGAAAGACTATGGCCTGATTCAGATGCACCTTAGCTCTCAAACTGACATCACTACTCCTCAATAATTTTGAAAGATCCCTAACTTCAGATTTTCCCAGTGAAATGTGTCTCATAATTTCTTTACTATTCATACCAAGGATGTTAATTGTGGATTCAAGCAAGATAAAGCAGTTTCAATGATACTGTCTATTGGTCCAGTGGTAAGAATCTCTGTTTTCTTGATAATGAGATGCAATCCATACTGAAGGCTACATTCCCTCATCTTCTGCAACAGGTGCTTCAAGTCCTCCTCACTTTCACCAAGTAAGGTTGTGTCATCTGCATAACATAGGTTATTGATGA